TGGACTTCAACTCCCAGAATTCCCCTGTCTGGCTAGGGAATTCTGGGAGTTGAAGTCCACACATCTTAAAGTTGCCAAGGCTGAGAAACACTGGTCTGGAAGGTGGAGAGGGCAGGCACTGTACTACCTCCTCCAATTTTATTCCCTCAGCAAGGACATTAACAAACACTTGCCATTTAACCCACCAGCAGCGGATACCGTTTGGGAGCACATGTATGAATGCAGTCCATAGTCTGGTAATGGGGGGGGGGTTGCTTTTCACAGTAGTGACACTCAGATTCTGGGAAAGTACAGTTGGCTTCTGTTATGGAGATCTGCAGGCAGAACGAAGGGCAACGATACTTTATTTTAAATCCTAGAATTGGGACTAGAGTAGCACAGGCGTCTCTCTCTCTCTCTCTCTCTCTCTTTCCTGATACAGGTTTTTGTGCATTTCTTATACATAGGTAACCTTACAAACAAAGGAGAAGAAATCATAAAAACAATGCGGGAGGTAACATTCACAGTACTGACTGAGATCTAGGCACTTAACAAAAGGCTTGAGTGTGAGCAGGAAGACTTTTCAGTAAGACATACTTGTGATAAACCTCAGCCTTACTTGAGCTCCAGCTGAGAAACACAATCTCTTTAGTGATGGGGGAAAGATCTAGTAATGCTGAGGGTGCCTTGGAATAACGATGGAAAAGCAGGGAGGGAAAATTCACGGGTGGAGGAACAGGGAGGAAAATATGGAGCTAGGGTTGTCCTTTTCTAAAATCTTGTTGAACCAAGCAAGGGAAATGAGAAGAGGCTTTTTTCTTAAAGCTACAGTGACATAAAAGTAACTACAGCAACAGAGAAAAGATAGAGGAATATAAAATCTTTGCAACACTTCCTAGCACAAGGCGTAGGAAGATAAGTATTGTCCCAGGACCAAAATATTACCAAGCATATATCTTGCATGGGTTAAGTAGGTGTATGTGTTTAGAGTTTTTAAAGGGTTTTTAATTACTCTACAACTAAATGTTTTATTCATTAATTCATTAATTCATTCATCATATTTATATGGCCGCCCATATTCCAAAAAAATGTGCCTCTGGATGGCATACAATAAAAGCCGTGAAACAGTGATATAAGAAGCAATCCACAAATCCAAAGAATTAAAAATTGTTATTAAAAGGCAAAGAGAGAACAGCAGATATTAACAGACATGGAGCCACTTCAGCAACTCACCGGTCCCTTTGGGGCCCCCAGGTCTGACGGCATAACCAAGTTTTGAAGGACTTCTGGAAAATCAAGGGAGGGAGCCAGCCTTACCTCGAGGGGAGGATGTTCCATAAGGTGGGCGCCAAGGCAGAAAAGACACATCTCCTGGGTCCCGCCAAATGTAGTATTTTGGCAGACAGGACCCACAGCATACTCTTCTGCCAGATCTAATGGGATGGGCAGATCTCACTGGGGAGAGGCAGTCTCTCGGACAATCTGGCCCCATGCCATGAAGGGCTTTAAAGGTCAGCACCAGCACCTTGAATTGGACCCAGAGGCAAGCTGGTAACTAATACAGATTGTGGAGCAGAGGTGTGATGTGTGCCATTCTAGAGGCACACATAATTGCCCAAATTGCTGCATTTTGCACCAGCTGAAGCTTTCGGATACTCATCAAGGGCAGCCCCATGTAGAGTGCATTACAGTAGTCCATTTGGGAGGTGATTAGGTTGTGAATGACCAC